CATGAAAGCCAAGGCCTTATACTGCCGACTTGCATCATTTTTGAAAAGTGGGCGGAGCTTCTCCAAAGTGGGCGGAGCCTCTCATACTGGGCGGGGCTTCACGCAGCAGTCCAAAAATGCAATAATTTTGAAAAAAATATCAAAATTCCGCGAAAAGCAAGTGGGCCGTGGCCGAGGGGGCGGGGCCCGCAGTAATGTCCGGCGTGATTTAGTAGATGACTTGCGCAGCCTAATAAGTATGGTGAATTTGATTTGGAAGGTGGGCGAATTCGATTTGGAAGGTGGGTGAATTTGGTTTGAAAAGGGTGAATTTGGTTTGAAAACGGGTGAATTTGGTTGAAAACGGGTGAATTTGGTTTGAAAAAGGGTGAATTTGTTTTGAAAAGGGTGAATTAAGTGAAAATGGTATATATCGCTTGCAGTGCCACATACGCAACTACCTTCTTACATTACAGTCAGTTCCTCGAAATAGCACTCCGTGTTTTTTCCCTTTGCCTTGCTTGTGCCGAGTTTTTTAGCACGAACCAACTCATTATTACGCTGACTTCCCGCTCCCCACGTCCCGTCCTTTAACGTATTTCGTCTTCTCCAGAGTCTAATGATTTCAGCTCAAGAATGAACCTTACGTTAGATGAAACCCTAATCGCTTTTGGCGATTATGACATGATCGGAACTCAGCTGTAAATCCGTGCAATACGAACGAAATCATACGATCATTGGCCAGTATGAGGACGCGGTGAGCTTACGACAGCTCTAGCAAACACATGTCCTTATCCAGGCATAGGGAGGGCGTGGCTACGCACTTCATTTTAACTTACCATACAAGAAGAGTTTCGTGACTGATACGTTCTACTTGACACCGGTTAACATGTCTTCTGAGTTGTGCAAGGACATCATTACAATCGTCTCATAATGTTAATATCCCTTCGAAGCAGCCACGCCCTCACATCGTCGGGATTTGGAGTGTAAATTGCGCAACGTTTGCGCAGAAGAAGGAGATCGCGTCAACCAAAGCGTAGAGGCGTTTAAGTTCTCGTTAAAATCCCTGAATGCACAGCCGAGCTCGTCAATTCCTATGATTTTTTTTAATTTGTATATATTTAATTGTAAAACAGCCAGTGTACTGTGCATTTCAAGAACTTTGGTACGTATACGAGACACCTACACGTGGTTTCCTAAATTCGTATATCGGAACTGAAGTTTCCATCGTTGCGGGGATTTCCGGCTGCGCCTCTGAATTCCATCACGAATTTTCAAACTGCCAGAGTGACTGGACGTGGCCGGAGTGATCCTTTCCAAACCGAAGTTTAATGTCTGAAGAAGACAATTTGCGTTGAAGTCTGCAGGATGGCAAGCTCGTTCCCTACTTTGCGGCAGCTGTCCACCGGTTCCGAAGGTATGCAGCGTCAGCGACTAGAAAGTGTAGATATCGTTCTAGCGTCTGCCACCGTCCACTCTACCAGCGTTCGCCACCGTCCGTCAGCTCTTCAAGGGCTAGGGAATCGAGCTTTTCAAGGGCTAGGGAAATCGCGGAAAAAAAGACTTGGAAACAATTCCAAGTCCGTCGCTTTTACAGTTTTACATACAATTACTATGGAATAGCTCATGAAAACTGCTTGTTGCACTTAAATGCCGAACGGCTTTAACCCATTGCGTACCGCAGTGTATTTGCGCGACGCGATTTCTGGCGCGCTGAGTATAAAAACATAAGATTTTTATCTTATACATATAACATAAAAATATTGTATACACATCGTATCATGCATCACTTTTATATGTAAACGTATGCTAAACGGGATTCAATATTGTTACGTGATAAAAGTGTAAAGCCGAAAAATGCGAAACTAGCCAAAAAGTTTGATAAAATTAAGCAGAATCGAAAAAGTGACGCAATATGCTTGAAAGCCGCTCACTCACACCATTTTACAATTTTTAAAGTAGGTACAGCTAGATTCCGGTTTTAATGGTAAGGAAAGTATGAAAAATGTGTTGAGGTATTACTCGAAAAATGCCAGCAACTTAGCTATTATTCAATCTCGCAGTTTCCCCCACACATATTTTCTCCCAGAAGACTCCAAGAATATACCGACTCCCTTAGTTCATCTAAATATGCTAATGAGTTCAAACAAGAGTGGCTTTCACCATGTGCAGCACTCCGTACGCAGTGGTTTAAATCTATTTCCAAAAAATAAAGTTCGTTGATTAGATTCGTGTACCGGGACAGAATTTGAAGATTATTGCGATGCGGCTGCCGCTGCCACTCTGATATTGGACCTGTTTTCAAAGTTTATAATGCTTTGCGCCATCGGAAGAAGATCATACCTGTGTGAGTGTTCGCTTCCTTCTTCCATTTCTATCTTCAAAACTCGAGGAAACTATATTGTTTCCAAAGCATTAGAACCTTTGAAAACCGGTTCAATGAGGTCAGAGTGGCAGCTTGACATACTCACGCAATGGTGGAGATCTCAAAATTTTGTAAGGATTCAACTGAACCAGGCTTTATTTTTAGAATACCATTTGAGGCGTACTTCTGTTTTGAAATTTGGTAGAACTATAAAGCTCGCGACTTGGACCTGTTCCAAGTTTTTTTTGCGAGCTTTAGGGTCGATTGCTTCTGCCAGTCCAGCAGTGTCCTACCAGCGCGCGTGAGTGGGAAGTATACGCGATAGAGGTAGTAGCAAGCAGCTGGTCACTATGGGGAGATAGGAGGGTGGCAGACGCTGGTACAGAGTATGGCACGATAGGAGGGTAGCAGACAAGTGTTCACACCATCTCTCTCCATCAGCAGTCTGCTGCTGCTCGCTGGTGGACGCTGATAGACGCTGGCAGACGCTGATCGATATCTCTACTTTCCTAATCGGCTTGACGCTGCGACGCTCAAGAACGCTGAGGAGCCTATTGTCGCTGGTTAGACGCATTGCCGCAAAATATGAACACCAGACAATAGAGATTCTGGCTAAAGAAACCTTGGAAAGTGTATTGTTCTTAACAAGGAGGTCGTTTCAGGATGCGTGGTGAGGCTTTTTCAAACGATTTGTTGCATATTGTAGGGGTTCATACAAGGACCACACAGATGGGTTTCATTTTTGCTAAACGCTATTGGGAATGTAAAAAGGAATAAAAACATGCTCCGAAATACGGCAAGTCTATCATCGTCCATTCGCATCTGTTTCAGCTGTAAAGCAGAATACAATAGAGTTTAAAGTGTTTTTAAACTAGACATGAAAAAGAACATTGAATAAGGTCGAAATACAAGTGCCTTACCCTTGGCAATATGGGGTAACACTGGCACTATCATTAGGGGCTATGCAGCATCGCCCTTCGCGCATCCGGCAGATGGCCTTTTTATCGCCACGCTGGTCCCAGTCAGTCGGCGCCATACAATAAGGTCCGGAACGTGATCAGGGCCATTGATACCCTGTTCAAAGGGTTTCAGCGAAAAAATTTTTTCGAGTTTCTCTAGTGGTCATGGACCTGACCATTTGGATGGCAGTGACAGGCGAACCCTCCGTTAAGTATCCTCTCTGGCAGACGAACCGCCAGAAATTTTTCATTTCTTGCCCCTCAACTTCAGTAGGTCTTCATAGAACATCGTGCTAGCTTCGGGCCACTAAACGAGCATCCTGGATCTTTCTTCACTTTTACCGTCTATGCTTTCGACAAAGAACTCGTTACCACTTGCCCGAAGAAAGGTTTTTGTTTCTCATATCAAAGGTATGAGAGGAGTGCAGTGTATGTGCGTCACTTTTTTTGTGTAGTATTTAATTCTGTCTGCATACTAAGCAAATGAAAAAGCTTCTTGACTGGTGTTAGATAAGACCTCGTTTGGGGGGGGGAGGGCTGATAGCCACTAGCTGGAGACATGGCCGGCAACCATAACAAAAAAGGTCGGGAAAATTTTTCTCGGCGTAACTCTATACGTAGGGTATTGATGTGCTCTATACTGGTTAGATACGTATTTTTGTCGCGCAGGCCATCTGGCAGTTATGGCGCTAAAAGCCCCGCCGCCAGTATGATCAATGGTGATAGTGCGGGAACCTTTGCCCAGAATTGCGATACATTGCGCCATATTCAAAAATGAGTGTCATGTTCATGATCAGAGCATCGGATAACCGCCGTCACCCAAGTTTCATGAAGAGTTTTTTCGATAGTATTTCGCGAGCGTAATAATTGAGTGAGGCCTATTTGTGAACCGTTCCCGCATGGAATGTGCCTTCAAATGGCGTATCATGCTCGTACACAATTATGGGGCCTCTGGAATACAAAAAACGAAAGGTAAAATTCATAAGAGCTGTACATGTAAAGGGATCGAACCCTAAACCCATTGACCGAGATCCGCGCATATCCATCCGCCATCCGCTCACGCGCGACACTAGAGATACAGGAACCTGTTGCAAAGAGCTATGCGCAGATAACGGAAACTCAATGCATCTCACGCGCATGCCAATTAGACCATTTAGGATTTGACTATGCCGAGTTTTTCATGCCTGCCTTAAGAATAACCTAGCATACTAATTGCCCCCCCTGTCAACGCTACAGCTAGAACAGAGCAATAAGTAGTTCAGAAGCCCAATTTCTTTTCGATATGTGTTGACGGGCGCCGTTTTTTTGACATTCCAGAACCGTTTAGCCAAATGAACCCCATCGCTGTGGTCCTCGCATGGACCCCTACAACATGCAACAAACCGTTTTGAAAAAGCTCACCACGGCCTGAACGACCTCCCTTGTAAGATGTGCAGATAATAACAGCTTAAGCTCACAAGAAGATAAAAGGAGAAATTCTCATTTAATGCCTAGCTGGCAATTCACGCGGGATAACTCAAGAGACGACACACGTTCAGCTAGGTCGAATTGCATGTGTAACTACTATAACTAAATGTATAACTCGAGACAGCCTTTCACCGAAATCACTCGCTTTAACTTGTGTCCGCACTCTACGTCATTCGGAACAATGCAGAAGTTTTGCTTTCTCCTTCGCAACTTACCGCCAACTTTCAGGTATGCCAACGATGAAGGATCTTTTCACTCCCATCGATGAGCTGAAAAAAGAACGGAGCCGTCGTATTTTGCATTTCATTCTGCCGCACCCTTGACCAAGCGGCGCTGCAACGACGTTCAGTCAGCTTTTTTATGCTGGTGTCTTGAGGTAACAGTCAGGTATTTTCATGCTGGTGTCTTTGGGGTAACGGTAATGTGTGGGTACGAGAATAATACTGAGTTTAGTGAAAAATATTTTTAAGAAAACTCCAGTCATGGCTCTTGATGAAGGATCTCGCCGTGTATATGGAACTGCTCCGGAATATCAGTTGATTTCTGAAGTGAGATCTATAAAACTAAAGAAAAAGCTACGAACAAGCGAAAAGGGACGGTTTGCTGATTTGCAGATGGCATGATCCAATAAACCTTCATGAGTAAGGGCAAGATTACTGCGGTTAAAAACAGTCACCAAGAGATCGAAAACTTCAGTTCATACGCTGGTACTGGGCAGCAGGGAAGAGCCGATTCGGCTCCACGAGAACGCTTGGCTATCTCGCCAGGTACCCTGAAAAAATTAAACGAGCTAGGGTACGACATCCTGCCGCATCCACCTTAATATCCACCAGACCTACCTTTCTTCTGTTGCAGCTTCTTCGAACACCTCAGCAGTTTCCCTCAGGGCAGAGCACATCATTGGTTGGGGATTTTAGTCGAGTCCTTACGACCCCTCCCCACTTTACCCCCCCCCCCGCCCTTTTTTTGGGGTTGGTACGACCTCCCCTCCGGCCCTCTGTCCCTCCTCATCGAATCGAGCCGTCGAACGGGGTGGGGAGGGGGGATTTTTCTCGGCCCAAATATGCCCCCCCCCGTGTTGGGGATTATCCAACAACGATATGCCCTGCCTCAGGGAGAAAAGCTCCGAAAGCCAGCATGTTGCTGTACTGGCATTCACCGATTTTATCGGCTCTAACTCTCCAGACTTCTAAGCGATAGGAATGAGCAAATTTGTTTCTCTTGGTGGAAGTGTGATAATGGTTGTTGCTTCGATTGATTGTTAACAATTGAGGAAGTTATGTTTGAGCCAAGATATACTCTAGTTCGCTGCGGACGAAGGGGCGTGCCAGGCAGTATGAGTGTGCCCTGCGCCAAACTCGTTCTCTGAAAGTTGTTGAAGCAGGTGTGCGACAGCAGTCTGTAGAAAACGAATGATACGTATGTTGTGATATAGTATCGTCATTTGTCGCTTCAACAACTGGTGAAGAACGGGTTCGGTACCGCGCCAGACTCATCCCGCCTGACACGCCCCTTCGTCTGCAGCGAACTAGACTTCATGCGCATTCAAAGCCTGAGGTCGGAATCCGCAAAAACTTTTTCCACAACTTAACAGTTCGCGATCTTTTCACGTTTTCACGTATGTTGGAATGACATTCAGGCAAATATTGTCTTACATTTTTTCCGACCTTCTTGGCTACTAAGAGGGCGAATACTCGGAGACTTTTGCAGAAAATATAATTTATTATTTTCTATGAGGGGATTCATAGTTTAAAATAAAAGGCAGGGTACGATTGTCTTGGGTGAGCGCTAAGTCATGGCGATGGAAATGTAAGTGGGGGCGGTCGAAGCCTCTTTAGCAGCCTAAACATAAACAGCCGTTCCACCAATGACGTTAGTAACAACCGCCCACCTCCAGCAATTGTGCCTACTGCCTTTGAAGGATTTTTGCAGGATCCGAACTGTGTTTGGTCGGACTGACACATGACCGCACTATATGGGTAGTGCGTAGAAGGGAATACGCAAAAACGGAAGAAGCGGGCAAAAAACTCCACGCGCGAGCTATGCTCCCAATAGAAATCGTTAAAAGGATCGACACTTGAATTTGGAATACCAGAGTCAAAACTCAAGGAAGAAGCCATGTGCAGTGATTAGTTTATAAACGGTTGAAGATGATTTGCGCCAAAATTGAATTCATGAAGTATTCTGAATTGAGGGATGGCTGAATGAATGGTGGAACGCCCGTACAGAAGTTTCGGGAGAAGATTCCACTTCTCCGAGTAGTCTGAATGAAAACTATTCCGGAAGGTTGCTCCAGCTGTTAGTCTCATTTCTTCCCGGTCATAGCACATGTTATGGTTGTGTTATTGAATTGGTGTTCATCTAGATGTCAAAGGAAGAAGCTCGATTTGCCTCAGTACAGTCATAAAGAAGAAGGTCCTCCAAATGACAGAACCTTCATTACTACGTGTTAAGGTGAAGAAGCCAGAAACTTTTTTTAATGAGATTTCGCTTAAGAATTAAAAAAATTGGTGCGAGAATGGGGTTCCTTTGAAGTGCCAGATTGTAGTGAAGCTTGCTCCCACAGAATTGAGAGGATTTGATTTAGATTGAATAAGCTGCACCCATTTTCACTTGCAAGATGGAATGGCTGCAAATGTGCGAGGGTTAAAGGTATTTGTTACCGACCATCGAAATGGAAATGAGACATGTATCATTTACTGACTTCACGTCCTGAGCTATCAGAGAGAGTATAACAGAAGTGTATGTAAAAAGCGCAAAAAGCAAAGCGAGGATGGCTTTATCAGTGTCGAGTAATTCCCTTATATGCAGTAACTATAAAGCAATATCAATGTCTTTAGCTGAAAGAGTAATGACGGCTTTTTCGAGAAAGGGCTGTGTTGTGAAGGCTTGGTAGCGCCAGAGATGGATAAGTGCATGTCGTTCTGCTTATCGGTAAGCTTTAAGTTGCATGTTGGGCATAGATGCCGAGGTCCGTAGCGAACCAAATGAACATCCAGCGGGCCAGGAGTAGAGAACAGCAGCTTACCAATCAAACGGGACAGATGCAGACAAGAGAAGGCAATCGGCATTTGGGTAAGGTAATAGTTACGGTAGTGTGGCGCTCCGTAGCGTAACGCGTGGTTTGGCTGTGGGAGGACGGCCCAAATGAAGAGTCCATCAACACTATCTCTAGCTCAGTTTTCGGCTGTAGTTTTCGAAAAAGACAGAAATAGTAATCGAAACTGCTTCGCTCGGTTGATGAATGGCCGGTCTTTACGGGCAGAGAGTGAAAGGACAGCATCATCTTCGACCAAATTTCAAACTTTACACTACACCAATTTTGCCGAGAATTACCCCAGCTGCAAGTTATGATGTTCTAATCTTAAAACTTTATCTAAAGTTGGAAAGTAATGTATTAGATTTCAGGTAGTTGGCCAAGAGTAGAGGGAGTTTGCGAAAAACAAAAGAAGGCCCAATTCGAAAAATATTGCGCTTCGAAAGAAATGCTTGCCATCTTGGAGAAAGGAATTGCGGACATGAACGAAGAACCTGATCTGGATCGAGGTGAGATATTTTCAGTCAACTTCCTGATGAACTATCGATCGATGTTGCCGGACACATTTCGGAAGTGTCCGAATTCAAGTGAAATCTGTAGACTGCTGGTTCATCGGTTCCTTTCAATATTCCCAAAATTGGTAATCCCTCTACAATCTTTACTTGATCTCTCCCGGGGGCAACTTTGGCCGGAGAACTTGTGTTTTTTTTGAGGATTAATTCTGAATACGAATATCCACCCGCTCAGGGCAAAAATGCGTGGCACTGCCTCGACAAACGCATTTTTTTATCGCCAGCTCCTATCCTGCCACCGCGCCCTGGCTTTCGACGCGAGCAATGTAATATTTCGCCGGTGAGGGGGGGGAAGCTCAAACTATCCTCTGGTTTAAATCTTCAACAAATTTGGTGTTATGTTGTGTGTGTTTTGGCGCAAATACATGTGGCGCCGGTCGAGGCTATGCTGGGCTAGAGTTGGTTGCATGTCATGTGTTTGGATTGGATCGAACTGCAGCGAGATAAAAGTTATAGCCAGTTACCACTGAACGGCTGAACTCTTGACCGAAATTCTACGTGTTAAGACGGATTCGATGGAAAAATAAGTGTAGTTTCTTTGCGAACGATACATACTACAGAATGAAGTTAATGGACTAGGAAGACTCGGATCCAGCCGATACTCGCTCTGTTGGCCCTTGACTCTTGAGTGATCAGCATGCTTGTGACAACTGATGAACTGCAGCAAAAAGTGGCAGTTTCAGACCAAAACGTCAAATGCTTAATACGTATTTACGATACCCTGTGATTACAGAGCTCACACTTAGCAGGCGCCGAGTGGACCGCGTATGAATGTGTACTTGCGATTTATATATTTATTCAATACTTCGTAAACTAATGCCACTATGCTAGAAGTACCTCCGGTCCATAGGGCACATCAAAGGTTTTCTAAGCGAACATAACAAGTTCGGGTATGCGCAATCACTATCCTGGAGGCCAAGTTATGAGCCAAAGTTAAAAAAACATTTTCTCTTTATCGCGAGGGGGGGGGAGGAATACAGTGGAATAACCAGCTGTTGAGTAACTAGGGAGTTAAGAGATGACTAGGCTTTAGTTTTCATTGAAATTTTAAAGAGAGTAACAACGCCAAGGTTGAACGTTTTTCGTGGGCTTTTCTGATCTTTCTTCTATTACAGACCAGCTTACGCTTTACTTGCAGCTATTGAGAGGCTTCATTTCATTTATTGCGACTTCAAAAATGCTAATGCTGCAGCCTGTTTTTCGTATAGGCTTTACAGTGACACGTACAAAAAATCGCGCAGTTCCGGGCGGCCGAAAAGCCAATGCCGGCGGCTACGGTCGAAAAAAAAGTCCACGATGTAATACTTCCCGTCACTGTCCGAGATTATCACATCACGCACGTAAGTATGGAATTGCTGATAATATGAGTGGCCAAAAAATTTATCAAGCGGAAAGGTAAAGACAATCCTAACGGCATATGATGGTCAACACGTAGCTTCGATAAGGAAAGAAGCTCAAGTCACATTTGGCTCTGATTTTGACCTATGCACTAGACCGTCTTCTTCTCACAGCCTGCTGGTTCAATGGGTTGTCTGACATGAACCATTATACCATATCCATTTCTTCGCTACGCTCATTCGATGTGATAAGAAGCTCTGTAGGCTGTGTGGAGTGTTCATCGTGCATATTTTTTTTGAATTTTCGTTGCATTCAACTACTTTACCGTTTCGTCGGTAAAGTGATTGACCATGCGCCCCCCCCCCGTTCCACTGTTCTCCATGTTGAGCCCGGAGCTTTTAGAAAGAGGCAAACGTTAGATCACATCTGCAGTTACTTTCAAACTGTCTACGATTTTTTCCGCCAATTCTTTTCAAAAAACCTAAGCGAAGTCTGATGGATTTCTCACTCACTCACTACCAGTTCTCTGAATGAAATGAAATTCAACTGCCGTAAACTGCCACTTTCTCCGCTCAAAAGTTCACGGGCAGGAGAATGGAGGGTAGTGACACCCGGAAGCCGTCTCCATATTAAGCCCACGCTACCGCACAGCCGCCACATCCCCTAACCATAAGTCAAAAGCGACTTAATTGTCCTAGTTCCATCTCTATGTCTATCCAGTCGACGTTTCGCGATTTGACGCGCTATCACAGAGAGGCAGCAAGGGTTGAAGCACAGCGCTGAGGGTAGTTTGTAAACAGCACTCAATTTTCACGACCGATCTCCCCTTACTTCTGCTCCCGTACACTTGTAAGCGGAGACAGGGTACGCTTCTGCAGCCGCGAACCCTTTTACATCGCACATGGAAACGACCGTTTTCGACAATTTCGTTCTCGCAACACAGAAAATTTTCTTGCTGCTGCTGCGTATAACTTCTGCCCACGTGGGAGTTTGTCCTACGGTGGAGTGAGCGTGCTTATGATGATCCAATTACTTTTTTTCAATTGCGATTCTCTCATATGTATTGATAATCAATCAGAGATGAGCACGTCGAAATTTGCTGTGAGAGCGCACCTGATGCACCTGTGACCAAATTCTGTCAATGCTTTTTTTCTACCACTCCGGCTTGAACATGAACACCGTTAAAACTATGTAAATCCCCAATCCCACGGCAAGTATGTATCTTTGCTTCGAATCGAAAGGCTACAGTTCGAAGGCGACCTCTTTCACCCTTCTTTTCTCTCCTCTTCTTTTTGTAATTCATGAATTTTTCTTTGGTTTCTCTTTTTCTCTAATCTCTTCCGCTCTTTATACATTACCTCTCGTCTTCTTTGCTCCCTTTGTTCCACTGGACTGCCTCTTCAATTTTTACGAAATCTTTTTGACGTAATGACTAATGACGCGACGGGGTACCTCACGTAAATGAACGTGCTTCCTCGTGAGCCACTGAATTCCTCAGGGAGGAAAGCCGCTTGTAAGACTATGAGCAGATTCAGTGAAAGTGCTTCGGGTGCTACTGGATTCTGGTGTGAGAGTGGGGCTACGGTCTTGTGATCTCCTGGGACTGGCCAACCAATGCGTTAAAATTGCTCGAGGAGGTGCAATGTCGTTCTGTTCCGAGACGATGTGCACACGCATGTGGTGAAGGTGATGTAAAAAATTATAGACTATTCATGAATTGAGGATGTGATAGCTGCGAACATCTTCATCAGTTAGGTGTCAGGTTTAGGCGATATATTAGTACCCTTATTGGGTGGTTGTCAGAAACCACCCTCCTATAGGTACCCCATAGTAGGGTACCTATAAGTATATCACCGATGAGTGGAAATTTTGTACTCGAAGGCGCCCGCTCCCACTTATCATGGCCTGTACAGTAGGGTCAGCCAATGCAATACACTTTATTGAATTCTGATTGGACATTTCCACCATAAATTCAACAACACATTGTACACTATCACGAACTCCGCCACAGCCTTCTAGACGAACGCCATCGAGAGATTCTGCCACGCGACCGTGATTCGGTGCCTGAGTTCAGCGAGGTCGTTGATTTCTCCGCCACTGTAGACCACCCTGTTGAGCTCCGCCCGAACCGGGTAATTGAGGGGTTTAGGTCAGGTGACACACTTAGATATTCCGTCTTCTTCAGGTACTCAACGTCCTTCGATTCCTCGATTCCATGTGCTGGCACCTAATCCTGTGGCAGTACGAAGTTTCCACGATGGTACAGGCGACAAATTGAGGGCAGGACTCTCCTCGAGCTGCTTGATGTAACAGTCTGCATTCACTTCGCCGGGGTCCACGAAGAAAATATCGGTCTTCCCATTCCAGGAACTTCCGGTCCATACCATCAACCCGCGCCTTGGCGACTGCGGTGAAGATGATATCCTGGACCGTAGCGACGTTGTCGGAGCTGCTCGATGTTGGAGGTCTTCCAGATCAAGAGTGCCGGTCCCTGGTGTCGTAGCTT